CTTAGAAAAATTCTCACAAAGTTGGGCGGTAGTGGCGCACACCTTTAATCCCAGCACTTGGGAGGCAGAGGCAGGCGGATCTCCCTGAGTTCTACAAGAGCAAGTTCCCAGGACAGGCACCAAAGCTACACAGAGAAACCCTGTATCGAAAACAAACAAGGAAGCAAAAGATCTTCACAAAAAAACTAGGGCTAAGGATGTAGCTTGCTTGGTAGAATGCTTGACTAGCAATAATGCTGGCTTGGTTTTGAGCTCCAGGACTACATTCAAATCCAGGTGTGGTAGCACTCACCTGGAATCCCAGAACTACGGGAATGGAAGCAGACAGCAAAAATTCTTTGCCGTATATCAGTTTCCAGGCTAGTCTCTACACAGAAAGATTCTGTCTTGAAAAGATAGAAGAAAAAAAGACCCTTCGTAATTCAGCCCTTTGTATTGTTTGGGATCGCCCCTGTTCTGCACAAAGACTTCAAGGTGGAGGTGTAGTTCCGCAGTAGAGAGCGTGCTGCTGTCCTGGAGGCTCCCGATTGAGGCTTCTGCTGTGCCCAAATCCATGCTCCCACCAGAGGACCAACTCAAGTTTGGTCTTGCAGTGTCCCAAGAATACCCGGCTGTTAGGGTTCTCCAGTGTCATATCCATGTAGAAAGAGGGTCCCGCCTCTCCTGCAGTTCACAGCTCTGTCCTCAGATCCTATCCCAGCTTGTAGGGCATGCTGCATTCTCCCGTGGTCCTCTCAGCCACCCTCATGTCTCAGGGCAACAGAGACTGGCTGGGCCTCTGAGCTGAGTTAGAGCATGATGACAGATCTCCCTAGACTGGAATTTTCTGCCTGATTTATCCTGATGGTCCAAATTTGACAATATTCCTAGAGTATGTTTTTAGCACATCTTCTGCTACCAACAAAATTAGATCACACATTATGTATTTATTTAAAAATGTTTTAGGCAGGATCTCACTATGTGTAGCTCTGGCTGTCCCATAACTCACTGTGCCTCAGACTCACAGTGGTCCCTCTGCCTCTGCTGCCTGAGTGCTGGAGTACAAGCTGCACACACAGTTATTTATAGCTTGTTTTCGACTTTTTCTTACAATAATATCCGTTAACTAGTCAGCTGCTGGGGCTGTGGAGATGTGGCTCTAGATAAAGGCCTAGCCCAATGACCTGAGCTTGAGTCTTAGCGACTTCATGGCTGAAGGAGAGAACTGACTCCTGCAAGTTGTTCGCTGGCTTTACTTGGATCCCATGGCATGATGTTCACATGTACGCACGCACACATGCATGTACACACGCACACACGATAAATAATGCAATTTTAAAATGTGTGTGTGTGCATGTGTACATGAATATACATAATTTTTCTTTTTGGAAACCAGGCTTGATGGCTCATACTTCTACCAAGCACACAGGAGGCAGAGGCAGGGGGATCTCTGTGAGCTCAAGGCCAGCCTCGCCTGCATAATGAGTTCCACTTCAGTCAGGGCTACATAGTGACATCCTTTCTCAAAAGAAAAAAAATCCCACTTAGTTAATTGATAAAGGCTATTGAGATGATTTTGTCTTTATTAACTGGTAGTTTTTGTTTTTTCAAGAAATTTATTGATACTGGGCATCATCGCACACACCTTTAAGTTCCAACACTCAGGAGGCAGAGGGAAGTGGATCTCTATGAATTCTTGGCTAGCCTGGTCTACATGGCTAGCTAGCTCTAAGCCAGCCAAGGTCAAATAGCGAGACCCTGGCTCAAAAAAATAAATTTGTCAGGCCAGTCATATAGCTCAGCTGCAAAGACATTTGCTGCTGAGTCTGATGACCTATGTTCAATCCCCAGAATGCACATGGTGGAGGGTGGACCCCTATTCCCAAAATGTGTCCTTTGATGTACACTTATCCACACCCCCACACATACACAAAATAGACAATATTATAAAAAGGTAAAAGAAATCTGACTTCCTCAGCTGTGGGATTTTCCAGCATAGACCTGTTTCTTTACCGCCTCTCAGCATTTGTAGGGTCTGCAGTTTCTCGTTACCTTCATTCCTGACAGTAGTTTTTGTAGACCAAGCTGTTTTCTTTCTTTTTCCTGTCATTGTTATTAGAGGTTTAGTGTTACCGTGGCTAATTTTACGTGGCAGCTTGCTTGGGCTAAGGGATGTCTAAATGGCTGGTACAATACTATTTCTGAGGGGTTTCTAAAGAGTTAGCATTTGAATCAGGAGACTCCAGTGTGGGTGTGAGGACACTTCCTGATCTGGAGCATCTTCATCTCCTGACTCCTGGTCCAGAGGCCTCTGACCTCAGGCTGGGAGACACACCATCTATTCCTATGCGCTAGACTGAATCACACCGCTGACCTTCCTGGTCTTTTAAGTCACAGGTCAGGTATTACGGAATTCTTGGCTTCTGTACTTGTCAGCCAGTTCCTGTAAGTTTCCTCCTGCAGCTGGACAGTGTCTTTCATACACTCTGATTAATGCAGTTGTTTTCCAAAAAACAGCCTTGTTTTCACCGTGTCTCTTTATTGCTTTGTGTTTATTAATTAATTAATTAATTTATTTATTTATTTTGTTTACAGTGTTCTGTCTGCATGTATGCCTGCAGGCCAGAAGAGGGCATCAGATTTCATTACAGATGGTTGTGAGTCACCATGTGGTTGCTGGAAATTGAACTCAGGACCTCTGGAAGAACAATCAGTGCTCTTAACCTCTGAGCCATCTCTCCAGCCCCCAACTTATTTATTTTATGTGTGATACATGTACACCTTTATGCCAGAAGAGGGCATCAGATCCCACTATAGATGGTTGTGAGCACCATGTGGTTGCTGAGAATGGTCCTCAGGACCACTGAGCCATTTCTCCAGCCCCGTGTTTATTGACTTCTGATATCACACTTAATTTGAAAGTCTGTGTTACCTTAAGATTAGAAACAAGGCCGGGTGGTGGTGGCACACGCCTTTAATCCCAGCACTCAGGAGTCAGAGGCAGGTGGATTTCTCTGAGTTCTAGGCCAGCCTGGTCTATGAGAGCTAGTTCCAGGACAGACAGGGCTACACAGAGAAACCCTGTCTTGAAAAAAAAGCAGTCAGGAGGACTTAAATATATCCAAGTTTTGTACAAAAACAAAACCAAGTCCAAGATCCCAAACTCCATCACTTTTCTGGAAATAAAATAATAAAATGACTATTTTGAATAGCAACAATGACAAACAGTGTATGTGTTAAAAGACCGACTGGTCACTGAAAACTCAAATCAGTGGCTTGGATGAACAAGTGGAAAAATATTTCGAAGCACACAGCAAATACAAAAGGATGGAAATAATTAGAAAAATGCCAGTGGCTCTGATACTGTATTGTTCTGGCTCCAGAAGAAGAAAGGAGCAGACAGGGGAAGACAACAATTACAGAGTAGAAAATACCCTGCTGACCCAGAGAAGGACCCAAACTTACAGACTGAAGGACACAAGGTAAAAGAAAGCAGAAACTTGTAGGCAGGAAATGCCTGGATTTCGAGGTCATGGAAAAAAAAAATCACTGTCCAAAAATCACTGTCCAGTTCTAGACAGAACCAGTTATTGACAAAGGGAGATGAATCCGCTTGACAGAAGTCACTACAAGTGAGAAACTGAAAAGCAAGGACGCCCAGGCTCTCACGCAGAAAAGATGTTCACCTGTCAGGACAAAACCCCACAAAACCAGAAAGGGACCAGGACCAAGCTTGAGAGCTTAAGTAACAGTTCAGTCCCTAGAATCCACATGGTAGGAAAGAACGGGCTCTGGTTTACATACACACGCATGAGCACCTGTGTCAGATCACAATCGCAGACAACCTAAGCACTTCCACATGTGTGGACACATCTGTGCGCACACACGTGTGCCTCCACATCTGTGTGCATGCAAATACCCAACTCCACATCTGTGTGCACACACATGCGCACCTCCACATCTGTGAACGCGCGTGCTCACCTCTGCATCTGTGTGCACGCACATACCAACTCCACATCTGTATGCACACCTCCACATCTGTGTGCACGCACATGCGCACCTCCACATCTGTGTGAACACACGTGCTCCTCCATATCTGTGTGAATATACAGATTCACACAACCCTAGTTGTCTGGAACTCACTCTGTAGACCAGGCGGGCCTCAAACGTGCAGAGATCGCCGGCCTCTGCCTCCAGAGTGCTACGATCAAAGGCGCGCTCTACTGACTTCCCATTTATTTTAAGTAATGATTATAATACAAAATAAAACCATGCACGTGCTTTCGTTCTTGTCAGGACTGGAGAGGGGCTCAGCAGCTAAGACTGCACTGCTCTAGAAGAGGACCTGAGTCTGGTTCCCAGTGCTGCCGTAAGGCTGCTCACAACTGCCTGTCACTCCAGCTCCAGATCTGACACCTCAGGCCTCCAGTCACCTGCACACACCTACATGCAGTCTCACACACACATACACACACACAGAGAGAGAAACAAACATAATAAAAACATTTTTAAATCTTTAAAAGATAAAATAAATTACAATTAAAAAAAAAGTAGAGGGCTGGGCGGTAGTGGTGTATGCCATGCCAGCACTTGGGAGGCAGAGGCAGGCGGATCTCTGTGAGTTCCGAAGCCAGCCTGGTCTACAAGAGCTGGATCTAGGACAGGCTCCAAAACTACAGAGAAACCCTGTCTCAAAAACCGAAAAAAAAAAAAAAAAAAAGAAAAAAGAAAAGAAAGTGCCCTCTTGGAAGTGTACAACAGCAGAGCTGTACGCTTGATGTGTGTGTGCACGAAAGGCTTATGAGGCTGTGCTGTGTGTGAGGTCACTTGTTCACAGCGCCCATTTTCCCCAGGTGTGATGGGACACAGACAGGTGTGAGTTTGCAGCCAAACCTGGTTGACAAAGTGAGTTTCATGCAGTTCTAGACCTAAATAGTAAGACCCTGCTAGAAACAAAGTGAAATAAAACCAAAAAAACCCACGAGAAAACATTGAGGTGGATTTCCAGCAAACCATGAGAATGAATGAAAAGAGAGATTTTTATTGTTGCATGGGGAGGACTAGAAAGAACCAGACACTCTCAGACTTTGGTGGCCTTTGTCCCTCTGGTCTTTTCACATCTGGAGAACCCTGTGCCCAGTCCACAGAGGTGCTTGCATCACCCCACACCGCGTCTGTGGTCAGTTGCCCGGAGAGGTGTGTACCTAGAGCCTCCATGGTCCCCTGGCAAGTCTTGTGTGCAAGTTCCTGACTCCAAACGGGGTAGGGGAGTGCGGTGGGGAGCCCTGGCCCTGGGCTTGACAGGTAGAGAAGAGCTGACGTCATCTAAATGTGGTGCATTGACTTCTAGGGATGGCAGGACCAAGATCGAGGTGTCACCAGCCCCCAGAATGTTGTCTGTGACACAGAAAGGTAGATTGTGAGTGAGGTCACTTCTGGTGACACACATGAATCTAAAACGTGAGTTCCCCTCCCATAGCCATGCCCTGTCTCTGACCACAGCTATAGAATCAGCCCAAAAGGGCTGGCTGCTGGCTGCTCTCTCAGCTGAGGAAGGGAGAGGCCGTTGCCTTACCTGGGGCAAGGGGCAGTGCCGCCGAGCATACCACTCCTGGCAGTATAGGCTGACCTGGATGCCCTGACCCAGAAATAGCAAGGTCCACATCAGGACGTTCCAGGCTGGACCCGTGTGCCTGTCATTCATGGTGAAGTTCAGAAGCCCTAGGCCAAGAGATGGCTTGTCATTTCAGCTCCACATCCCTGTGTCTTGTCTCCTTTTGCCTCCCATGCTAGGGGCTAGGAAGTGATGTACCAGAAAGGAAATATGTGCTCCCCAGACAAGATCTTGGACCCAGCTGCAGAAACTCTTGAAGATCTCAAAGGGCTGGGGGAAGCTCAGTTTGCCTTCACTTCTTGAATCTTATGCTGTATTTCTCAGACGTATCAAGGTTTCCCCATCCCTCCACATCCTTTGACCAAATGCTTTTCTGTAGCCAAAACCTTTCCCCTAGTCCCTCTGGATATGCCTATTGTCTCCCAGGGTCACTCAGACCCGGCAGACCCCAGAAGACCTGAGGGTCTCAGGAGCAGCCAGGCCTCCGCCCACCCACAACCAGCTGCCCCCGTCTCTGGATCAGAGGTTACGCTCACCCCCGAACACAAGGAAGAGCATCAGCATGACTGGGTAGAAGAAGCCCAGGACGAAGCAGAAGATGTACTCGTGCACAATCGCAGACATCAGGAACACTCCCAGCATGGCTGCCCTACGGGACCGCTGGCCCAGAAGCTGGTGGGCAAGAAAGAATGAGAGCATTTCTCGCGGTACCTTGTCTCTCTCTCCAAAAGCCGGGAAGGAGTGGAGTTAAATGGAGAGAAGGTGGGGTTTGGGGGTCAGAGGGTCCACACTAGTCTTATTGAAGGGCATAGTTCTAATCTATTGATCCTAAGTTGTGATTTTATTGGTTTTGGGGTTTTTGTTTGTTTTTTTTTTTTGTATTTTGACAGGGTTGGAGACAAAGGCCTAGGAAGGTGCTCTATTATTAAGATATGTCCCCAGCCTTATTATTAGTACTAATATTATTGTTTGTTTTTGTTTGATTGTTTTTTAAGACAGGGTCTCTCTTTATAGTTCTAACTGTCCTGGAGCTCCACATGTAGCCCAGGCTGGCCTTGAGTTCACAGAGATCCTCTTGCCTCTGCCTCCTGAGCCTCCTGAGTGCTAGGATTAAAGGCGTGCGCCACCATACCTGGCCCCAACCTTAATTTTTTGTGCATGCTTATTCATGTTTTGTGTACAAGTGCACATTGCCTGAGTGTGCAGGCCAGAGGATAATTGTTGTTACTTGGGGGCCTTTTGTGGTTTTGTTGTTGTTGTTTGTTTGTTTTTTGTTTTGTTTTTTGAGACAGGGTTTCGTTCGTCTGAAACTCAGTGGGAAGGCCAGGGTGGCCAGCCAGCCCCAGATATCTCTCCTTTTATCTGAACAATATTACTGGGGCAGAATGAAAGGAGAGGGCACCCAAAGAAGCCCATTTGCTGGGACTGTGAGAACTGAGAAGTATGAATAGCTCCTACCCGCAGTCCCAGGACTGTGAGAACTGAGAGGTGTGAATAGCTCATACCCACAGCCCCGGGACTGTGAGAACAGAGAGGTGTGAATAGCTCGTACCAACAGCCCATCTTGATACACATAGCTGTACAGCCAGTCATGGACCACCACGTTCCAGGTACGGTAGTAGTTGGAGAAGGAAGTAGAGTTCCACCAGTCCTAGGGAGGGTGTGGATTTGGGGAGGAATGGAGGTGAGATCTCAGGTCCCAGTTACTGCTGCACCCCACACCCATCCCACCTCTATCCTCTCAAAAGGGCTGGATATTGGCCAAACAGAGACAGCAACACTCTCTCCCTTCCCTCTTCCACCCACTCAGAGACAAGACCTTGACACTCCACCCACACAAGAGCAGTCAGGCCTGCTGCTGAGAGGAGCGGCATCATCCCCACACCCTGAGGCCCACGGTGCTTATTGCAGGAGAAGGTGACGCCCACCCCAGCTACCCTCTTCCCTGGGCCCTTGGTCAACCTCCCGAACCACTGCCCCCAATGGGCCCCCCGTCCAGGCCGCACCCGGTAGAACATCCTGTCTCCAAATCGCAGCATCTCAGCGAAGGCGTTGAGCCAGCAGTGCAGGAAGGCGAAGAAGATGAGGAGCAGCATGAAGATGCCTGGCGGGCAGGACAAGAGGTGCAGCCCCGCAGCCCCAGGCTCATCAGGGCCCCGGCACTTAGCAAGCATTCATTCATTCATCATTCATGCATTCCTTAATTTACACATTTGCTAATGTGATTGATATCTACCTATGACTGAAAACCAGAAATACAGGCTCACAATGTCCCTGGCCTTTGGAAATTCATAATATTGAGACAGACACCCAAAGGTTGAAAGTCATGTATGGATCAAGGTCAGGTATAATGGGAACTAATGGTCACAACAACCAGGGTTTCTCAAGAGGATACAGAACAAGGAGTGGACAGGAAAAGGAGTTTGGCTGTGAGGCGTCCTAACTACTGGGGCTGAGACAGGAGGATCGCGTGAGCCAAGGGCTAAGGGTAGCCTAAGCACATAGCAAGGCCCTATCTCAAAATAATAAAAATAAGTATATGCAATAAAATAAAACTTTGAAAAGGAAGAGTAGGAAGAGAGAAGCTTTCCAGAGAGGACCCTCTTAGCTGTGGGCCTCCAGGAAGAAATCCGATTCCATAGCTGCAAAGTAGAGAAGAGGCATTCCAAGCCTGCAACCCTAGCTGCTAGGGATAATAAGGCAAAAGGATAGAGTTTAAGGCCAGCCTGGGTAGAGGTTGTCTCAAAAACCAACATAAACATTTTAAAAAGAAAGAAAAAGAGAAAAGGCTGGAGAGATTGCTCAGCAGTTAAGAGTACTAGCTACTTTTCCAGAGGACCCAGGTTCAATTCCCAGCATCCACACAGAGGCTTGCAACCATCTTTAACTCTAGTCCCAGGGGATCCAGCATCCTCTTCTGGCCTCTGTATGCACCAGGTACACATGTGGTGCACAAACATGCATTCAGATGCAATATCCATACACATTAAAAACCGTCCCACCTGAGCAACCTAGTGAGACCCAGGCTCAAAGTAAGATTTGTAAAGAGGGTAAGGTTGGAGACCAGTGGTAAAGCCGGCATATGGGAGGCCTTAGGTTCATTCCCCAGTGTAGACAGAAGGGAGGGAGAAGGAACACAGGCAAGCAGAAAGGCAGGAAGGGCTTTTGAAGCAGAGCCATGGTGATTAATTCACAGGAGGGATTTCATCTGGGCAGCAAATCTAGGCCCAAGGGGGAAAGGGAAAAGTAGGTGGGAGCTAGGTCACCAGGCCACGTGAAGGTGGTGGGGAGCTAGGCCACCAGGCCACGTGAAGGTGGTGGGGAGCTAGGCTACCAGGCCACGTGAAGGTGGTGGCGATAAGAATGGGAGTGAGACAGACAGAGTGACCCCGTCCTGACAAGTCTTCCAGGGCAGGGCATGGCCTTTCTCTGCTGTGACGAAGCTCTTACCTGGGCCCGTGGCATGCAGGACCGAGAGCAGCAGAGCACGGGTGCTGAAGGGTTCCCGGCTCATGTTGGCAAAGACAGGGACACAGAGGCGGCACAGGATGAAACAGGCGTAGAGCACGCAGCCCAGGGCCTGCACACAGGAGGACACAGGGCTCTGTCAGGGTGCTGCCTCCTTCCCAGCCTCCCCTACTTCTAAGCCACCATGAGTCAAGAGCTGGCCATCTTCTACACCATCTTCTGACCTGAGCAAAGTTCTTGGCCACATAGTTCCACCTGATGCTGGGTGTCCTGCAGCAGCGATAGGAAAACATGGTTTTCACCCTTTGATGTCATCCACTGTTAGACCCTCAGCCTTCTCCGGGCTCCCTCCATCGCCCAGACCCGAGAGGATTCCCTGGGGTTGCGGTGGGAGAGGGGTGGGGGCCGGGGACGGGGATGCTAGGCTCCCTCCATTGCCCAGACCTGGGGTGTGGAGGACAGAACCAGGTTGGCGGCTAGGGACAGTGGACCACGGGAAGGCACAGGGCAGCAGAAGGGGCAGCCTGTTTTCTTTTTACTTCCTTCTGAACAAGTGGCCAGTGCTTGTGGAGAAGGGTACCACCCTCACTAGGCCCAGGCATGTGGGGAGGGGGCGGCAAGGTCTAACCTGGGGTATGTTTCTCTGTAGATAAGTGTAGGGCAGAAGAGGAAGTAGAGGTAGCTGGAGAAACTAGGGGCACCAGTACCCTTACCTGGGCAGGAATGAAAAGGCTGTGTTAGCATGGGGAGGGTGGACTGGGGAGGGACCCAAGGTGTGCACCCGAAGGGGTTGGACTCGCTCACATTGCAGCCTGGCTTTCTAGACCCGCAGTGGCCAGAGCTTCCTTAGGCAGCCACAGTCCATCCTCTGCTTTTACCCTGATCGCCTCTAAGAAGGCTCTCTCTCATCCCTGCCTTTTCAGATTGGGCCTGGGAACTGCAAAGCACCAGAAGGTCTGGGTAAACCGAGTGATTTTCTCAGAAGACGCCTGAGAATGCTCATGAATAGGGCCACTTGGTCCAGCTCAGGTCAGATCTGTGTCTGCCGGACAGCCGGCTTGGGGCTTGCAAAGGCAGAGTCTTGCTTCTTCTGACTCCATCCAAGCAGTCAAGAGGATCCAGTTCACAGTGGGTCAGCAGTACACCTCACCTCTGACGCAAAGGATCCCAGGGACAGTCTCTCTCAGGAAGGAGTAGCTTTTCATCAGGAACCTGACCTGTAGTGGAAGAGATCAATTTGCTCTAAGGTTCTCAGAAAAATCACTTAGCCTCTCTGTACTCAGATGCAAGCCAAGTCAAACCAGCCTGGCAGGAGCCCACATTTACCTTTTTTTTTTTTTTTTTTTGAGACAGGGTTTCTTTGTGTAACCCTGACTATTCTGGAACTCACCAAGCTGACCTGGGCAGTGGTGGCACACCTTTAATTCCAGCACTTGGGAAGCAGAGGAAGGTGTATCTGTGAGTTCGAGGCCAGCCTGGTCTACAAGAGCTAGTTCCAGGACAGGTTCCAAAGCTACAGAGAAGTCTTGTCTCGAAAAACCAAAAATAAATAAAAATAAAATAAAAGTGTGTGCCACCATGGCCCTGCTAACATTTTCTGTTTTTTTTGTCACATGGCTTTAGAGCTTAACTAGATAGACAGAGAGTGCTGTGACAGGGCTAAGGTGGACAGGGCGGTCCCCATCCCACCAACTCTCTCCAGAGTCAGTGTTACCTGCAACATCATTTGTGGACTTTCCTCAGAGTCACAGGTTTGCCAAACCCAACGCTACGTCAGTGCCCATTTTTTGGACCTGGTCCAGGAATCCCCATGCCTTCACCTGCTCAAAGACCAGCACGCAGTTTGAGGCGGGCGGAAGTTGATGCTTCACCGCCACGTGGACTGGAAGGACGCAGAGCACTGCTGCGTGGGCAGCCAGCAGAACACAGCCCAGGCCAGCCCCCAGCATCCAGGAGCTCCCAGCTAGAGGCCTGGCCCACAGCCGCAGGGTCTGGTAGGGCACTAGCAGAGTGGACAGGAACATGGGCACCCACGTCATCAGTGCCAAGGGCAGCTGTCCAAAGCTGAAGATGAGTAGGTCAAACTCCAGCATCAGCCTAGGAGAGAGGAAGGAAGACAGTAACCTGGGCAAACTGAGGGGTTTGTGTTGTGGAATATTATTTTAACTGGGCAAAGATATGTTGCATTTGTTTCTGTTGCATTTAATTATGTCAAAAAGTGTTGCTGTTTTACCTTGCTTGCCTAATAAAAGGCCGAAAGGCCAATAGCTAGGCAGGAGAAAGTATGGCGGGGCTGGCGGGCAGAGAGAATAAATAGGAGGAGAAATTTAGGCCAGAGAGAAGAAAGACGAGAGAGAAGGAGTGGATGGGGCAAGAAGCCAGGCAGATGCCAGGCAGCAGACATCGAGCACAGAAAGTAAGATATACAGGAGTTAGGAAGGTAAAAAGGCAGACAAACAGGTTAATTTAAGTTAGAAGAGCTAGTTAGAAATGTGTCTAAGCTAATAGTGAGTTTCTATGTCATGATTTGAGAGCTGGTTGGTGGCTCAAAAGAACAAACCTAGTACAGGTTTATTTTTGCTTTTTTTTCTAGACTGGTATCCCAGGCTGACTCACTTAAGCAGCTGAGGATGACCTTGAATGTCTAATCTTCTTGCTGTAGGAGTCACCAATGTCCAATTCATGCAGAGTTGGGCTAGACCCTTGATAGGCTGTGTTCTGAAAGTGTTCAAGTTTGCTCTGGTGTTGTGGGGACTCCCAGTGCCGACTGTTGCCTCAGAGACACAGTCTTGGGATAGGCTTGATCTAAGTGATCTTTGGAGCCCTAGGTCAGTGGCTCAGTATGGCAAACATGAGGCTTTGAACAGTTGAGATGAGCTTTGACTCTATTTTTTTATTATTTTTAATTCGGTTCCTCCATGCTCAGGGTTTCGCCTGGGAGGAGTGTATTGGCACTTGCTTGGCTTCTCAGTTACTTCAGAGGCAGAAGCAAGAGGATAGAAACATCCTAGCTAGGACATAGGAAGACCTTGTCTCAAAAATAAAGCAAAACAAACAACAACCAAACAGCTTTTTAAAAGAATGTTTAGGACTGGAGAGAGGGCTCAGTGGTTAAGAGCACTGACTGCTCTTCCAGATTCAATTCCCAGCACCCACAGGGTGGTTCACAACCATCTGTAGCTCCAGTTCCAGGGGATCCAATGTACACTCTCTTCTGACCTATGTCCTTTGAACATATGAATGCACTGGAAACACTCGACGGCAAACTCGAACTATTAAAAAGAAAAACCCAGGGAGGAGGGGAGGAAGTGGAAATTTTTATAAACAAACAAATAAAAAAATAAATTAATTAAAAATTATAGCTTTACAGAGTACGTCACAATAAATGGAAGCTATATCCATTAAAAAAAAAAAAGAAAGAAAAACCCAGTGCTCAGGAGGCAGAGGCGGGTGGATCTCTGTGAATCTGAGGCCAGCCTGGTCTACAGAGTGAGTTTTTGTTTGAGACATCTCTGTCTCAAACAAAAACAAAAAATAAACTACCTTCAGCCTGGCTTGACGTTTTACTGAGCTGTAATCCCTTTAATAATGCTCTTATTCTTTTTCTTTTTATTTTGTTTGTTTGTTTAGGATGACCTCTTATTATATAGCTCTTGTCTGGCCTGGAACTTTCTACGTATACCAAGCTAGCCTTGAACTCATAGAGATCCCTCTGCCTCAACCTCCTAATGCTTAAAGGGCTGCAGCTGAATCAAGGTCCTCCATTCTTTCCTGCTTACAAGCCTGTCCCTGGGACAGGTCGGCAGCACCAAAATGCAGGCCTCCCAGGGAGGGTCTTCCTCTAAGGTCTGCACTTGACAGTCCTCTCCAAGAGATGGAGGTGCTGCAAAGGTGGGGATGGCTTCACCCTCACCCATCTGGACCAGGGCTTGTACTTGATCGAAAGTCAATGGAAGTTACCTGAATTGAGGGTCACCGTGTGTGTGTGTGTGTGTGTGTGTGTGTGTGTGTGTGTGTGTGGCCTACCTTCCCTCATCAATGAAGTCGATGGCCAGGGTACTGATGATCAAGACACATAAACCCGCGATGAACATGTGGTAGATGGTTCGGAAATGCTGCACCTCCATCAGCTCACTGGAAGGAAGGAGCCCGAGGGTCAGGGTGGAACGTTCTTCAGCAGCCTGCGGAGGAGCTCAGGAGCGTGGGGCCCGAATCCAGAGCTCCAGCGGAGGCAGGCCTGTGACTGGGACATCTCCGCCTTGCTAACACCAGGGCAGAGCCCTCTCCAGACCCTCCCAGCAGAACACGGAAGCCCCCGTATGAGAACCGTGACATCTGTGGGACCCCCAGCCAACCCTTCTCTTATCCTTTGTCCTCCCCACAACTTACTCGAGCAGTGACTTTCGGGTGATGAAAACCTTCCGTCTCACATGGGGTAACTCCCGGGTCCTATTGAGACAGTGTTCAGAACTAGACCCCAAAGGGCGTGGGTGGAGGGCAGTGCCGTGTGGGAGGCCAGGGCTCTGAAGACCGGGTAATCAGAAGAGCAGAGGTCACACCAAGGCTGCCAAGGTGGGACCCTCAGACTCACTTGCGTGTAGTATCTGGGGCAGTAGAGGGAGGAGGTCTGTCTTCCTGTGGGTACGCTTGCACAGCCTCCCACATGGCCCGGTCCAGCAGCTCTGCCAGCTGTGCCTGTGCCTGCTCCAGAAACTGGGTCTTCACAGCCTGCAGGACAAAGCCGGGCTAGGACTCACCGTCCCTCCCGGCAGCCATTCCTTCCTTACTGTGCATTTCTGAGCTCTCTGGGCCATGCAGTGTTCAGTGCTAGGAATAGGAAGAGGTAAGAATGGCCCCAGAGCTTCCCCAACATCTCTCTGTCTTCTCAGGGCAGCCATGAAGACAAAGAACCTCAGCAGAGACTGAATGTGGTAGCATACGCCTGAAATCCAGCTACTTGGAGGCTGAGGCAGGAGGATGATAAGTTTTAGTACAGTTTGAGAAGAAAAAGAATTTCCTCAGCGGGAGGGAAGCCGAGTTGGGGCTGGCGCCTCTAACCTCACTCGAACCTCTGAACTGTAGCCATGCTAGCAGGAAGACCTCACCAGCCCAACCCTGCTCCTTGCCCAAAGACCTATGCTTTAAACAACTCCATCTTAGCCCAACTACCTCTCTCTCTCTCTATTCGAGCCAGGGTTTCTCTGTGTAGGCCTGGCTGTCCTAGAACCCATTCTGTAGACCAGGCTGGCCTTGAACTCAGAGTTCTGCCTGCTGTGCCTCCTGAGTGCTGGGGTTAAACACAGGCACTGCCACTGCCTTGCTAGCCTGATTCTTTTTAATTTACAAGATGTAAACCTATTTTTAAATTGGGGGAGGCAGGATCCAGGTTGGCATTGTCTGAACAGTGTTACCAATTTAACTGAGGCTTTAAAATATTTATACAGAAACGGGCTGGTGAGATGGCCGGAAGATAAAAGCATTTATAGTGCAAACCTTTTGACTCCCAAACCCACAGTGGAGAGAACTGAGTTCTGAAGATTTCACACACACCACCACCACCACCACCACCACCACCACCACTAATTTTAAAAGTGAGGTCTTATCTCTGATTATTGCTAAAGACTAATGAAAAATAAAAGCTAAGCAGTAACTGGTGATTTAGGCTTCAACACTGCCCTCCAGTTAATCTTAATTCTAACTGTGAGCTTGAAAACACTTTTTTTTTTTTTGAGACAAGGTTTCTCTGTGTAGCCCTGACTGCCCTCGAACTCTTGAACTTGATCTGTAGACTAGGGTGGTCTTGACCTCTAAGTCACAGAGGTCCTCCTGCCTCTGCCTCCCGAGCACTGCTGGGATTGCAGCGTGTGCCGTCATGGGGTTATGTGGTACACACTACCAGTGTGATACACACTACTACAACCCTGGTCCAGACCTAGCCTCTGTGATCCTCACCTCCACGTGTCGGGTCCATTGCACCAAGTCTGGGGCTCTGTGCGTCTTAACGTCTCCTAGGAGGAAGAACCAAAAAGGGCACCCAAGAGGGCAGAGTTAGGGCTCTAGTCAGAGCTGACCTTGTTCTGGAAAATGCTTTCTGTGTGCTCACTAGCCTCTCTGTTCCCAGGCAATATTTAGAGCCGTGAGTGGAGTCACTAGAAGAGGGAGTGATGTGTGCAGTGAACGAGGCCATTGGTAAGAAAGAGCCTGGTGCAGTGGCTGGAAACAGGGCCGCAGCAAACAGGGAAGTGCTCCATTCACCCTCAAAGAAGGAAAGGCCACGCTCTGAACATCTCTTTCCTCCATGCCAGTCCGAGTGGTGGGGAATAGCGCAGACACCTCTCGTTTCCCAGGCAGCAAGGGAGTTTCCAGCGGCACAGCTTCAGTCTGCTAAGCAGGACTTCTCACCTCACGTCGGTGGGGGCGGGCCGGGGGGCTCACCTTCTCCACAGACTCCCTTCTCCTGCTCTTCTCCCAGCCCTTCTCTTCTCCGCAGCTGGGACCTCGTTGACTCCATGGTGGCAGTCTGTAATGGGCAGCGGGCAGCGGCTGCCTGTCTTTTTCCTTTCCTTCTCAACCTACCTCAGAGGTTGAGCTCTTATCCACTCGGAGACCTGACAGCTCCAGAGACTAAAGTCCTTTCTAGAGGGCGGGGGTCAGAGAGGTTATCTAGCTGTACTCAGGGCCTCTCAGGTCCTGGCTCTGCTCTCTTTGTTGCGTGTCTCAGCCTCTCTACCCTCAACCACAATGGCCAGCTTCATGCTTGCTATCTCACTTTTAGGAGTGAACCTGTGCCGAAGGCTGGGAGGGGGACTTTGCCTCCTGGTGCTTATCACTTAGCAGGGCGCCTCCTGGCCCTCTTTAGGGAGGCTGAAGGTCAGGGAGGGGCCAGAAACATCTTCCTGTACCTCGTATTCAGCTCTCTGAGGGCACTTGATGGGGTCTGTACGTATGTGTGTGCAGTGATGCTTTGTTGAGGGCTGTTTGTGATGTGTGATGTTGAGGTCCTTCAAAGCCCCTGAATGTCAGTTCTTCTCTACACCTTGGGTTACCATGTAAGCAGAAAGGTCAGACTCACACTTACTCACAACTGAATAGTGCCAGGGGTTGCAATGCTTCCCTTTGCTGTCCCCTGCCTATGGAACTGCAGGAAAGTGGCCCAAGGGTCAAACGTTTTAAGCTTCTGGGGGAAAACAAAAGGGACAAAAAAGTCCCTACCTCATCAGGTGACCGCCAGCACAAATAATCTGGGTAAACCACGCGGAACCTGAACACCGGTAGAACGGAGGGCAGGTAAGCACTTTGAGACTTCCCTTTTGGCAAATTCCTGCTGGGGATTAACCATTAATCTTTCTTCTCCATCAGTCCAAAGATCAGCAATAGAAACAAAGTTGTAGTCACCATAACCTCACCAGTAGCCAGATGCTACAGCAGGCGGTGATCTCAGCCAGTCCCCACGCGGGAACCCAGGTGGGTATCTGCTGAGGCTAGAGGGTGTGAGGCTCACGTCAGTGGCAGTCTGCTGCATTGCTAGGAGGATGGAAGGACTGACGGGTCTATGAGTAATGGTAGACAGAGAGCCTGGGTCTCGAGAACTGTAAGGGATGGACACACAGACATAAACCAGAGACCCCAACACAGCTTTATTAGTGCCCCAAGTCAGCATTTTTTCCTAGCTAGATGTGTCAAGGCCAGGGGTGAGGGGAACAATGGGACAGGGCCTGAAGGCTGGTCTTGGGGCACAAAGCCCTGGGTTACTCATCACTCCACACTCAGAGGACAGCCCTGTGCTCTTGCCAGTGTCCTGGAGGCTCCCACCCTGCTTTAGCCACTGCCCCTGGCAGAGCACTGAGAGCCTCCGTGGCCATCTGGAGACCCTGGCAAGGGCCGGCCCATTGGATCCACACACCAGCAGGGACCACGGCGATTCCCCTGAGAGGAACGGCACTGGGGAGAGAAGCACAGACCAGGGTGAGGTCCAAGGTTTCCAGCAGGGGAAACATCTCAGAGTTAAGAACTTTACCAAGTAGCTAGGGACCATCCTGCTAGGCCAGAACAATAGTTTTCAAAATGTCGCTCCCAAATCAGCTGCACCTGCATCACTTTTGGGTTAGAAATGGGTGTTCTCAGCCGAGAGGGCTGAGTCAGAAAGTGCGGCCTGGACTTCAACAGCTCATATGCCTCCAGAGGGTTCCCAGGGCGCTCGCTTGGCAGCCATGGCAAGGCCTCTGTCTAGAGGCTACTTTAGGTCTTCTACTGAAATAGTTGACCTTTGAGGTTTTTTGTTTTTCTTTCAAATCATACTTCTTTTAATTTTACTATTTATTTTGAGACAGAGGCTCAGTAAGTTTGTAGGCCAGGCAGGCCTTGAAGTTACAAGCTTCCTGACTCTTTTCATGTCTATGTGGGTCTTCAAGTTGGAAGATCCCAAAAGGCAGGGAAAATAGCTTATGTGGATGTCCTGGTTTGTTGTCTGTTTTTGAAACAGGAACTGCTCCTAACCTTTCATCATGTATCAGCACACCAAAGCATCCTTTCTGTATCTTTGTTTGCCACTTGGTAAGTACCCTTTTCACTTCCTGCCAGGGACCTCGCACAGAGGAGAGAAGGTCTCTTTACCTGCTGCTTTCTGTAGAAGCCTCTGAGGTCACAATTTGGCACATAGAGCCCGTGTGACCCCCCTCGGAAGACCTCAGTCTGGAGGTTCTGCAGTATGGAATCCAAGTGTCTGCGGCAAGGACCCTGGAGAGGAACAGGGGTGGGTGGGGACTGTGCTCAGAATTCCAAGAACCTGCCTGGTCCAGACTTCCTTAAGTCCAGTGGAAATCTCCAGCCTTCTGCCTCCCTACCAACCCTACACGCACCATCTCAGTGTCTTGAACAACCCCTGGATTGGGCCTTATAGGGGTGGTGGAGGTCCCTGGATTCTTCTGCCGGTCTCTGTGGATTGTGTCACGTTGGCGGGAAGCACCTCCATGGGGTTTCCTCTCCTTTATAGTCTCCTCTGTGGCCACAGGAAGAATGGGAGAAAAAATTAGAAGTCGGTCAAGGCCAAAGACTAGCTCTGCAGTAGCCTTGGTCCATCTCTGCTGGTTAATGTGAGAGCAGCTGTTGGCTTTATGAACTAAAAGTAGCCAGCTTTTCTCCTAGTCTTATCCTGGCTGCTCTTTCTTCCTCTAACAAATAGTTATACTGTGGGTATGGTGTTGTGGAAGTTATTTTAAGGAGTTACTTTTTTTAATGCTGCATTTGTTTAATTCTGTGAAGCTGTGATACTTTGCCTGTCTAGAACATCTGATGTTCTAGTAAAGACCTGAGCAGCCAATAGCGAGGCAGGAGAAAGGATAGGCGGGGCTGGTAGGCAGAGAGAATGGATAGAAGGGGAAAACTGGGAGAAGGGGTTCTGGAGAAGTAGAAGCCCGAGAAGGAGGAGGACATCAGGGCCAGCCACCCAGCTACACAGCAGTCCACAGAGGAAGAATAAGATTTAAGGAAGTAAGAGAAAGGGAAAAGCCCAGAGACAAAAAGTAGACGGGAATAATATAACTTTAAGGAAAGCTGGCAAGAAACAAGCCAAACTAAGGCCATATGATTACAACTAAGAATAAGCCTCCACGTGTGATTCATTTGGGAGCTGGGTGGCCGGCCCTCCAAAAGTCCAAAGAGCTCAACATCATATTACTACTAGAGCATGGTGTGTATACCTATAATCCCAGCCCTTGGGAGGCTTAGGCAAGAGGATTGCCACAAGATCAAGGCCAGTCTGGTCTACTCAACAGGGGCTGAAGAGACTGTTCAGCAGTTAAGAGCACTGGCTGCTCTTCCAGAGGACCAGAGTCCGATTCCCAGCATCCTCATGGTGTCACCCCACTTTTGGGGCCCATGTGATACACAGAAACAGATGCAGGCAGAACACCCACACATGCAAAATAAAAATAAAATCCTACAGATAATATTTCCCAGAGGCAACTGCTCCCCCCCCCCCCGCCCCAGGCCCCACAGGGATTCTCTGTGTAGGCTTGCTTGGCTGTCCTGGAACTAGCTCTGTAGTCCAGGCTGGCCTTGAACTCACAGAGATCCACCAGTCTCTGCCTCCTGAGTGCTTGGATTAAAGGCATAGGCTACCACCGCCTGGCCCTCCAGAGCCATTTTAAGTCTTATAAGGGAGAGCATTTTGGAAAGCAAAAGCTCAGAGCTAACACAAGCACTGTTGGTTATTTCCATTTAGGCTTTCTGTGAAAAGACTTGCTTATTCCACTGCAGGCCAGAAGAGGGCACACCAAGCCAGGGAGATGGAGAGAAGACATATGTGTGTGTGTGTGTGTGTGTGTGTGTGTGTGTGTGTGTGTGTCCCTGTTGTGACCCCTCCAGTGACTCAGCCCACCCTCCCAGGCTGAGATATAGTTACTTTGAGGACCTTTTCACCTCTAGGTAAAAGAGCATCTGGATTCAATCCCTAACCAGGATGCATTGAAGATGGCAAAGGGGCAGGAAATAAGAGGCTTCCCAACTTCAGGTTGCATCTGGTCCTAGAGAGTTTCTGGGTGCTCTCGGGAGAGCTTAGGACTGGGAAGGGGTGACAGAAGTAAGTCAGGGCTAGGAAAAGGCTGGGGAAAAACGACAGCGTACCAAAGATAAACTCTCATACTTTTTCTTTTCTCCACTCCCTCTGCAGTCTTCTCAGCCATCATTCCCTGGGAACCATGTCTTCCTCAGACCTTGTTTGTGCATTTAGTGCCAAACTGTGGTGATGCTTCAGATTGCCTTTTTCAACTGAAACACACCTTCTGAGAGGAGCCCTAGAAGCCTGGGCTCTGACACTAAAGAATGGAACTCCAACACCCACACATATGTGAGTGTGAGTGTGTGTGTGTGTGTGTGTGTGTGTGTGAGAGAGAGAGAGAGAGAGAGAGAGAGAAGAGAAGAGAAGAGAAGAGAAGAGAAGAGAAGAGAAGAGAAGAGAAGAGAATGTGTCCACATTGAGATAGGGTCCCATGTAGTTTAGGCTGCCTGATACCATGTAGCCAAAGACGATGCTGAATTGACTTTCCTGCCTCCACCTCCTAGGTGCCCGAATTACACGCATGCAATCCCAGTGATCTGAATTCATTTATCATCCCTTTCTATGGAAAACCCAAAGACTCTTCCTACCTTCCAGCTTTCAGTTGCCTCCTCACCCCCATCTTTCGAGTGCTGACTCACTCTGGTCCCACCCGCCCAATGGCTCAGTCTCTTGGGCTCATCCCTGGGGTAGGGTGGGGCAGAGAGGGCATTCAGTTCTGACCAGGTTTAAATAATAAGGCTGATTTGGCAGATTTCTTCTTTCCCACCTCTTTGGCTCTCTCCAGGCCCTCCAGGGTCTGTCCACTCTCCCCAGTCTAGCCTGATACTACTCAGTATCTTTTCTTCTAGACATCAGGAATCAGGTACTTCCTACACTGGCACTGAACGAGGGTCAGGAGACATTTGCCAGTGTGTGGAACTGGAATCTGAGGTTCCCTTTCCTCCTCCTCCATATGGAATCTAGGTCCTGTCTCCAGCGTGGGCCACTAGAGTGGTGGAGATGAGCCTGCGGGGAACAAAAGATAACTAAAACCGAAACTCTCCAGCCTCCTCCTACAAATGCTCCTTTCCCTCAGGAGAAAAGAAATAGGGGAAAGGGAGAATGGGGAGTCGGGTTGTCTCCCTCATTCTCAGGTGTCCCTTGCCACACGCAGCCTAATAGTTGTTCCCTGATCTTTCCGCTTCATGGTCCACTCAAGGCCTGGGAGTAATCAGTGGACCGGTCCCACAGGTTTGAAGTTGCCCACCTGCATCGATCCAGATTCCTGCCAGGAGAGACTAACGTCTGTCCCAAGTGGGCGGGTGGAAGGTGGAGTGGGACTTGAACTCACCCGACGGCCCCCTGGAGCGTTGACAGCGGCCCTGGCCCATCAGCAGGGCCCGCAAAGGTGTCTCTTCGTTTTCTCGCGGTTGGCACTGCAGTCCTGGGGCGCACTTAGGGATGTAGACCCCGCACGATTGCCCTTCTCTCCGGAGGCAACCCCCGGCTTCTGCACAGCCCTCTGCATGCGACCCTGCGTCTTCCTCCTCCACGCAGCCCCCGCGACAGTTGGTCTGCACCCCCGGCCCGCAGCCGAGACACCGCGTTAAGGCGGACCCTGAGCCCGCAGCGAGTAACAGGGTTAGCAACAACAGCAGCGGTAGAAGCGGCAGCCTGTCCCGAGTCATGGTCAGCGTTTTTTGCCCAGTGCACTCCTGCCAGAGTGTAATGTGGCTGCTGCGGGGGCCGTTGCTCCGCTGCTTTAAGAAGCGGCCCTTAAAAACCCCGCCCTTGGAAGCCAGGTGAAGCGGGAGGGAAAGAGGGCAGGGTCTCATTCCCTAAACTGGGTGGACTGGAGGGCCACCCACCTGGGTCCATCCGGCTTTCCCCTCAGCTGCTGTTTACTTCCCAAATTGTTCTGATTTTTTTTTTCTTGCTTTGTTCCTGGGAATCTCGCCCGGAATTTGGGAGCTGTTCATCTGGCTGAAGGGGCTGTGGGATAGGGAGGAGTGAAGAGAAGGACAGTGAACCCTGAAATCCAGTTAGCATGCCTGTTTGCACAGGAAGATGAAGGACCGATAGAAACCCCTCCAGAATGGAAGGCGGAGAGCTAAATGTGAACCGAAAAGGAATCATGGTGGGGGGGATAGACGCTAGAAGAGACCTAATTGGCCTCTGGGCAGAAGCTCCTACCAAGGTCAAGAAGCAGACCCAGGGAGAAAGGAAAAAGTCTCCTGGCCTGTGTCTGTGGAAAAAAAAAAAAAAAAAAACCCAGAGACTCCACCCCTAGTGTTTTGGGAAGATAAAAAGGCTGAGGAGCAACAGGGAAATGAGGAAAGGGTTATGAGGAATGCAGTGGCAGGAAAGGGGACACTGAACTCCTGGAGGGTGTGGGTGAAAGCAGCGGACCATAGTCTAGATGTGTTTAGGGACAGTCGTCTGGCCACAGACCAGTCACCCCCTCTCTGTCCTCCAGGTTAGCTTGTCCCTCTGTTACTCTCCTTTCCTTAAGCTTTCTCCTTTCTCTGGTGGGTTCCGTGCCCACAGAGTGGGGTAGGGACTGACCTGAGAATTCAGTCAGTCCCTCTATGCTCATTTGCCTGGCCGTCACCAGTGGGCCCATCCACAGGCAGTGCCTATTCATCCCTGGGCATAGTTCCACCCTAGGTATGGGTGAGCCAGTCCCCAGTACTCCCGGAAAGTCTCAAGGAAGAAGAGGGATTGCTCCATTCACACACACACACTCGCGCGCACACACACTCACACATGCACACACACGTACACACAGACACACACACACACCAACACAATTCTGAGTTATGCAACAACAATCTCATTCTTTCCTAAAACAAGGGCTCTGGACAGTGACTAAGTTTAAATGTTGGGCCCCCAAGCAAGAACATTAGCAAGGACTTCCTGAGCTTTTTAAGCAAATACAAAATAAAAAGAACCACCCCTGGCTACTCTGAGATTTTAAGACTAGCAGCGTTTTTTTGGAAATTGATGATTTCCCGTT